TTACTAGCTAGGGCCAATCTATGGGCAAAAAATGAGCAAAATCGATTTTTCGACTTGTGCCGTTGTTTGGTCCATAGTTATGGGCACTGGCTCTTAATTCTTTTTTTGAGAGACCTATACCTTTTTCTAGATAGAGGTGGAGAATTTGCATTCTTCTGAACAACACTAATATCCCTGGGATGGGGAATTTTGCACTTTTTTGACCAAGGTTAATTTCCCTGGGGTCGTGCATTTGAACTGAAGAGATGATCGGAGTTCAAATCCCCTGCCTTTGCACAGCCTCCTCCCCCCCACCCCCCCTTTCCCCAGCGGCTTAACACTGATAGGTGCATAATGCAAATCACATTCAGGTAAGCTAAACAGAAAGCAAAATATTTCACTTCATCTATGCACAACATTCCCTTTATAAAACCTGACTATATAGTACACAGTGTTGTACAGTATATAAGACAGAGTCAACAATGTACAAATTTACAATATAAAGGCAAGAATAACAATGCATTCATTGAATAAATTTATCTGCGACTTTAGTAGGTTACCTACAGCTATATCATAGAAGAACAAACGAACAATGAAACACATGAATGAGTGAAAAATATAGCAGCGTACCCATTAGTCAATCATCTTCATGCTCTCACTCATGACTGAGACAAATACAAGCATGTGCAACAACCGAGTGATATAAGCTTTGCTCTGAAATACCTAGCAAATAACAAACCGTCTAAAACTGTAATTGAAGCTCGTTTCAATAATTTTAGACGGAGGATGCTCCAAAACAACGTATCCAAGAAGTTCAGTAAAGCAGCTTGATCGATAGAACAACCTTTCGAACGCGTACAAAAACGGAACTATAACTAGACACTAGCTAGAGTAAGACACAACTGTGTAAAAACAGGCCTTCCGCTAACTTATGGTCGTAATAAGTACAGCTAGGAATACTACAGTTCTATTAAGATACCAAGAGTTTAAGGAGAGAGATTTTGGCAAAGAGGAAGCCACAATTTATACATTTCAGACAGAAAACAAACTTACCCTCATGCCGAGACATAGCAACTTCCCTGAACTTCTCCTCGTGTCGAATCGAATTTGCGCTGATGCGATGGCCTTAAAACGCAACTTTTTCCCACAGTAGCAAAGAACATTGGACAATCCTTTTATAATCTGCCTAAGCACAGGTTACAATCCCTAAAAGAACCAAATTTCAGGCCAGTTATTTTCGCATTTCCACCATTGGAAAGCTTCAAGGATCCTGAGCCGTCTCCCGGTTTCACTGGGCATGCGCTTGAGTTACAATCCCAGCATTCCCTTTTTCGTGGGAATAAACTGGTTGGGAGATCCGTTGGGATGACTTTTGAATATAATTGATGCAGCAAAGTCAGCATTTCGCTTTTCTATTGTAGATATGTGTTATTGTTTCCTGTATTGTTGAAACTGGTGAATTCAGCAAATACAGTCGAACCTCCGGTTGCGACCACCTCTCGTAAGCGAACACCAAATGTTTCCAAGTCAGATCACTATATTTGGAACCTCTTGTAAGAGACCACGACCACTTTTGGAGCTGAAAGTTTGAAATTTTCTTTTGTTTTTAACCTCCCGTAAGCGACAACTTGACAGATAATAGAGCCCAAATTGTATAATAGGGTGTTGTAACATTATCGGATTCCTGGGTAGTACAAGAGACGGAAATTTCTCAATGGGAAGTACTGGATTTTTTCTCAAAATTGACTTTTGACATAAATAAAACATTTAAAACGCAGGGCAAGCCTCTGCAGTCACCCTACGCCAATGAGGCAAAATTATGACCCAATATGGTCTGAGCTCTCGTAAGCGACCACCTCCCGTAAGCAACCACCTAGGCTTGATCATGACATTTTGGGTGGCCGCTGACGGGGGTTCGACTGTAGTAAGGAAATTTTCAACGTTACGTGACTCCCACCCCTTCCCCCCACATTAAACCGAAAAATCTAAGACAAAAAAAATTCTTTCTTGGCTATCCCTTGCGTTGATCGTTACTTTTAAGCCCTCCCCGAATAATATGAGAACATTGGCTCTAAAATAAAGATTAACTTCTTCCCCGGTTGCATGCGGAGATTGGGGGGTGGGAGGGGGGGAATTCTGTTTCACGCACGAGTTTTACAAAAATGCACGCGTCACATTTACTTTTTATAGCTACTATTAATATTTTTTCACGTGTCACTCTTTGTTTAGTTGCTTTTCACGCGTCACGCTCATTTTTGCCCTCATCACGTGTTGCGCATAAAGCCTTCGCCACCCTCTTCCATTACAAGCCAACTGTTGGAGCGTTTTCACATTAATAAAGTAATAAATTATGAAAATGAAATTTCCCTCCTTAGGGAAATGAGTTCTTTTCTTATTCAACAATTTCTTATCATTTGGGATCGCCAATATGGTCACCGTGGAAACGTGCGTAGATCTTAGATGATCGATGAAGACCTCAAAGTATGGTCAGATGCATGGCCTGCGAACAGGCTCTCAGTCACGTCACTCTCACCCAGTTCCTGCTCGGGCCTAGCTACCAGCCCCAGTCAGACCCCTCTCGCCAGAGCCTGTTTGCAGGCTATAATGGTCAGAGTATCATACTGTTTAGAGACGCAGTGTTTTTTAACGTAAATTTCCTTCTGATAATAAGCCCTCTCTCCCCTATAATAACGCATAAGCACCTTATTGGCATTTCTCGAAAACTATAAGCCCATCAAAAACTTCTTTTGACAAAAAGTCCAGAAGTAAGGGCTTTTTTACTTTCAGAATATAATTTTGTATCCCAGGATACCGGCACATGCTTTAACAATTTTCATGCTAAAAGTTTAAATTATTTTTCATCTACAATCAGCTCAGAGGAGACAAGTATTTTCGGTTTTGCCTGAAATCAAAAGATGAGATATTTAATCACATATATTTTCTTCTAACAAATATGTCAGTCTTAAAATTGCTTTGAATAGAGGGGAAATATAAAGCACAGGGTTGAAACATTGATCGAAACTGATTTATTTAGCTTCTGATTGTTTCAACTTAGCTTTGAACAAAAAACAGATGAAAAGTACAGAAAAATTAAAACCGTGTGCTTTAATCCATAACTGCTAAATAGGCGACTTCGATAATTTGTTTCATCGAGAAACAGTCAGTTCAGGTCATCTCGCCATATACACTGCTCTTCACACCTCAATTCCCATGAAAGCAGAAAGTGAAAATCATTGTGATTGACATCAGAAGCTTATCGCCTTGTTAAAGGTGATATACTTCCGTTGAAATATATTAGAAAGACGGGAAATCTACGCCTAACAGGTTCTTGCTGAAAGGTGGAATCGAGACTATCACACCTCGTGGCGGGGAAAAGAAAGGCCCTGGAGATGAGGTTAGTTTGTATGCAGTCGAGGCTGTTTAACACACGCTTTGGGCGGGGCAACGGACAGATGATGGGTGTCAATCGTTATTCAAAGCCATCGCTAATGCGGACGGACAAAATTCATTTCAAATACGTCTTGAACAACCGCTATAAATAAATTAAACCAAATCAATATGTATTCGCCCAACTTTCCCACGTCCTGTTTCGCCTAAAAGCGACGTTCTTGCTTACTTGAACGCAGTGTATCATACAACAGGATCAAAAGTGCAATTGCAACAGGAAACTCTTATGTCGCAAAGTTGAGCATTTTAACATTGCTAATGAGTGTGACAGCTGCATGACAAACTGCAGATGGCTGTTACCGTTTGCCGCATATGACGCAAAATTCTACTTTACAACAAAGACACAACGAGACGTTATCTCCACATTTTCAGTTACAAAATGTTGTACAGAACAGCCTTTGTTTCCTCTTGCGTCGAAGTGTTTCAGTTACTTGGAGCCATCTTGGAAAATCAGTGAAGCCACCTACGATTGTTTGAACCTCAATATTTTTCGAACCAATTTCCATTCCCCGTAGGTGGTTCAAAAAAATCAAGCTCCTGTATGACACAATATATTTATAACTTATGACAAACAACCTGAAACACTGTCGAATTTGTGATGAATCTACATTTATCTACCCTGACGTCATTTAATATCTCCCAACTACAGGAAAAATGTCATTTTATTTATAACATCCCTCAAAATATGTTACAACAAAAATAAACCCGAAAAAGGCTTATATTTTATAATCTAACTGTCACCAAAATCACAAAAAGTGAATTTTTCCCCAAAATATATTCATCAGCTACAACAGGCCTAATACTGTGCTATATCTAAATACTTCTTTTGAAAATGTGCAACGTTTGTATTCAAAGTCTTTGAGACAAAATATATTATAAATATACTATACTTAATAGGATAAAAAAGACAGCTGAGTGCAAGTTCATATTAAACTTCTAAATTATGTGCTGACTCTCTGTTTAAACGTTCTTTGGAATATTTTACAAAATTTGCAATAAATTTTCATATGACATGCATTGCGTTTAAAAAGGGACAGCGGAATGTGGACTTTTCGACCCTCCATTTTTTAAACCTCCCGATTATTCGAGGCAATCTTACGCGCGCTTTGGCAGTTTTCAAATCAATTTCCCTTCCTAAAGGTGGCTAAAAAAAACGAGATTTCACTTTAACGATATTGTACCTTTGGTTACGAATCTTAAATGAGTTTGAATTAACTTTATATTATGTTTTCAACCTTTCTAGAAGTTCCTAGCTGTTATAGGTTGCAGAAACAGGAAACAGTATAATAGTCAAGGTCAATAATATCACTGAAACTATTTTTAGACGCCTTTCTTTTTACGTCAGTGCATCAACCAACTTCCTGCCTGCTTTCATCTTGTCGTATTATTGTATGTTAGTACTTTTGGGTGCTAATTTGATACTACAATATGACTTGGGTTTACTAAAGGTATTTGTTTAAAACATAGGCAAAAGATCAAACTTAGCAAATGATCTTTGAGATGTGTTCTGGGAAGATGGCAAACAGACTGATTCAATGCCCCAGTGGGGAACTCCCATATGAAAAAGTCGGGGATGCACGTCATCTTGTTTAGGGATATAAATCCAGGATTCTGGCCTCACTCGGGATGTTGATGACGAAATACCACAATTTTTAGCTCTCAAAGTATCTTTTAGGGTGCAATTGAAGAATTAGTAATAAAAGAAACACTCTTATTTCTGTTTTTAGGCTCGATTTCCACCGGTCTCTTGAGTTTGGTGTACTAGCGCAGGCTCCTTTCCTCATCAGTGGCTGGTGACCAAGTCTATTCTGTTTTAAGAGGTATCTTTTAGGAGTCAAATAAAGCTCGAGCCACATGCAGATCGGTATCCTTTAGGGGTTTAATTCAAACTTTCTGATAAGCATCCCAGACCTTTTCATATGGGAGCCCCCTCCTCCTCCTCCTCCGCAGAATTGAATGCCACAGAAAGGCTATATCACCAGTATGACCACGGAGGCTGCCTGGTGTAAAGATGAGGGCTTGTCGTGACATTAAGAGGAATGGATATGACAGCCGCTTTCATTCCTGCTTCCTCAATTCCACGTTTAATGTGATACCTGTAGGGTTAAATGATCAAAATTAATGTCATGCACATGGCTGCTCGCCCCACGTTTCCTACAGAAAGAGAGAATATGATGAAGGAAGTGACTGTGTGAGTAATAGCAGCATAGCTGCCTCATTGTTGCTCACTGTTTCTGTTACTCCAGATCAAGTGGTCTAAATTAAGACTGACCAAGTTCTTGAGCAAGACACCATCATCTTAGAGAGACCTAACAAAAAGCTATTACCAGGCAACCCAAGAGAAGTTGGACTAGCATCCCATACAGAGAGAGAAGCAAGTTACCCAAGTGGTGAAGCTTTACTTCAGAAAGCAACCAAGGATAAGCTTCAGCAATGTGGGCTCCTGTGAACTATAGCAGCCTTGTTTAATGCTTGGCATGTTGAGGTACATTTTCCATGCCATGAAGAATGTACTCATGACACAGGTGCTCACTCAGGGTCTAATGCAAGCTTGACTGCTCAAATACACAGTATGATCAATTTATCTGAGACACTTGCACATAAACACAAATATTTGCACCAGGGGAAGAGTATAAACTGGACCAATATGTGCAACATTGAGAAAAGGAGTTGCTTTCTCAAAACAGAAGGCAAATACATTGGCTTCAAATCATTTAGAATTTAAAAACTCATTAATATTATAATTCATAAAGGAAACACAAAAGAAAAACATGTTTAATGAGTGTCTTAAAATTTGATAAAGACGGCTAAATTTTGCAGCCGATTTTCTCCAGAAAAATAATAATAAACCCAAGGATTATTCTACAATTGAAAAGATCTACCACAAACCTTTTTGAAGCTGTTCAAACACTTGCAGCATGATTGTGTTTTATTGGGTTTAAAACACTCGGCTACGCCTCGTGAAAAAAACACTGCTGCTCGTTTTTTAAACATTACATAATTAAAGTAAAGTACATTTCTTACCCATCAGATCCCAGCATGAACCCAGCAGGAATGTGAACATCTCTTGCTGTACCGTCATGAATCATGTCTACTAAAGGTTCCCCATTGATATACTGTAGTTTGTCTGCTATAAATACTGCAATGGCTCCATGACTTTCAACTGTTTTTGTTTTCGACAGAAAAGAACAACCTCTGAAGACAAAACGTGATTGTAAGAGTAATTTCATTTAAGGCTGTGTAAGGTGTAAGGCTTACAATGTAAGGCCCTGTGTAAGGCTGATTAAGCTGACTAGGGGTTTTGTAGTTTTAAGAAATATTGAAGAATTTTACCAACACTGCCCTGTCTCAGAATGCTAAACATACCACCTCAATATTTTACAACTGCTTAAGTTGTTTACGGTATACATTGCTGTGATGATCATTCATTTAAATCTATAAATCATGTAAATAGGTAAAGATGCTCCCATGTTTTTTTCAAAAACCATCTCCAATAAATATTATAATTATTTCAGATCTTAAGGCACAACCCTATCTAATTTCACACTAACATGTTAAAATCTGTGACCCATATTTAACCAAACAGCTCAAACTACACGTAAGTTACTGGTTTCTAAGGAATTGCTGTACTGACAAAACGGCTAATGCTTGAAACATTAGCTCTCATACTTCAAGTTGATAATTGGCAGACCTCCAAAGCTAATACCCTTTGGGATAGTATATACCTGTACAGATTAAACAAAGGTGAGTACACAGCCCCTACCATGCCTGTCACCCTGGCCCCACTTGTTTGAAGGCTGGGCAACGCTCTCCACTGGATAAAACGCTATCCAGTAGATAGAGTAAGTGTTCACAGAAAAAACCATGCTATCCACTGGATAATAATTTATCTGGTGGATAGCTCTGGTTATCCACCTTTTGAACAACCCTGGCCTGGACGTTAAACTGGCTGGTATCATGGAACTTTGTAAGCATTTTATATAGCTTAGGAAAGATATCACATTTGAGTCTCCCAGCCCCTCTACTTTTTATTGCAACTACTGACACTAACTAACTTTGGCCATAAAATAACCTTTGGGCTTATATTCCTCTGCTTTGGGACTCTGATATAAAAGGGACAGGGGTGCTCCTTGTACCTTTCAGGGGTTAAAAAAGTGGATTTGGTTCCTATTAGGGTGTTGGCCTCAAAAGCTCCCACAGCAGGAGCTTTCACAGTGTCTTTTAGGGTATTGAGCCAAAAATGATGGTGTCAATTTATGTGTTGCTTTAGAATTGCTACCTCTTAGGAGTGAAAAAAATTTCAAGCCACCTCCACAAAACAGGGACTTGGTACCTCTTAGGAGTTCTTTTCAAAATTTCTGACGAGCTTCCCTGTCCTTTTTGTATGGGAGTCCCCCCTGCTCCCCGCTCAGGATCCAATAGTCACTCACCCTCTTTCAACCAAGGCTATTGCCCCATGCAAGGCTTGGCCATTGTCAACTGAATAGCAAGCATCAAGAGGATCTGCAGCCACCAGATTTACAATCCCTGAATCAAATTCCTTGGAAACAAATTATACTGAGTCGTTAGGACACGTCACATTTTCAGTTGGTGTTATGAAACACAAAAACTGTCTTGAACATGCAGTGTTTGCTAGAAGCAACATGAGAAGAGAGCTAATTTAATTAGCCCCTAGAATAATTCAAGAATTATCGTTCCATGCACCAGGATGATTACATGCCAAAAGCCGCAACATTAGAAAGCTTGAAACTTACCGGAAGTTGTAAGTAGCTAGCAATCAAACTCGAAAAAAGATAAGGTTCCATATGTTTAAGTTAGCAACAAAGGATTTTGCAGTATGTCGACATACCCTGCTTAAACAGCTGTAGCAGGTGGAAGAAGAGCATAATTTATTCACAACACAGAAAATATATTCTAAATGATTGGATCGAGTAGATTTAAGTTAAGTTTATAGTGATAGATTTTTCCCACTCGAATTACAGTTACGATTTATGGCATGTTCATTACATGCACTACTTACAAATTTGCCGCCAAAGTCTTTCGCTGGTCTAACTTTGTAGATGAAGCTAATATTTTTAGGTTGCAGAATCTCAAAATAAAGAAGATCGTTGCTATCAAAAAGCATATAATCTGTGGCAGTGAAAACACGGACTCGCGGTTCCTCTGCAAAATAACGGAAGAGAGCTGTTATCGTGCCATTTGGGCGATAAACTCACATTCCGGAACATCGCAAATTGGCTCACCTGATAAACACTTGAAGAACAAAGAAGAGAAAACAAGGATAAACCATGATATTGTTCTGCAGGGAACAAAATCGTCCATGGTACTGTTTACACGTCTGCTTTCCCTCTTCACTGAGTCAGCATAGAAATGCACGACCTCATTGAATGCTGGGATATTTGTGACAAAGACTTGCGTTACAGGATCTGTAAAACGCGTTTCCAAGGTAGCGAAAGAATTAAAATTATAATTGGACGCGGACGCAACGTAATCATGATTTTCCAAGAAAAACGTTTAAAACACAAGTTATCACTTACACGTATATGGAATTTCTAAGGGCAAGGCTTCCCAAAAATAGTAGATAACCTCATTGCAGTCTCTTCCAGGGTTGTCACGCAATCCCAATATCTAAAGGGTTTCAATGTGGTTCGTATCATAGATAGGATCTTAGCTAATTCCAAGAGACGTTGAAGAAATTCCATTCATTCGAAATCAGATTCAGAACGCTTCTAGTCCAAGACCGGCCATGTACCATGTACATACCCCCGTCATGCTTTCGTCACTTGTACAGTCCCGGGTACAGTGCAATCTTTTCGTTCTGACTCACCGCCAAATGATTTTTTTTACCGTTCTTATGTCTTGGGTTAAAATTCATTTTTCGCTCGAAAATAGAAGCCGCCAGAAAAGTAACGTTTCCAGGAGCTAGCAAAACTCAAAGTAACGGGTCTAACGGGGAACGTCACGGGATAACCCGATGGATGGCACTGGAAGGATCCCGCGGAGTCCCTAAACTGTACTGAATGCCGTGGTCCAGAGAATGTAAGGGCAGTTTATAATCCCGGAATACGCACAGTAAAAAATGGACTGCTTTATTTTTGCACAATACTTTTGAACATGATTTTGTTTGCTATTCTTTTCCTATGTTATTAGGTAGTTTCTATTCTTTTCCTATGTTATTAGGTAGTTTCTATTCTTTTCCTATGTTATTAGGTAGTTTCTATTCTTTTCCTATGTTATTAGGTAGTTTCTATTCTTTTCCTATGTTGTTAGGTAGTTTCTATTCTTTTCCTATGTTATTAGGTAGTTTATATCCTTTTCCTATGTTAATCTTTTTTTTTTCATTGCCCACTCTGTTGGCGCTAAATGACCAAAACAGGGGCATCAATAACATCCGACAGTTGTCAATGTCTTAAATAAATAATGAATTTTAGTTTCTCCTTAAAAACTTTAAATACTTTGAAAGTTAAGGTCTCGTATCAAAGGACTTATGTGCGATGTAATTGAAGGACTGGTAAGCTGACGACGAACAATATTATAATACAAACCAGAAGAAAACGTAACAACTAGTTGCTCATTTTTTTCAACCTTTACGATCATTCCAAAGTCTGCCTCAAATACGAACTTTAGCAAATGTTTGGAGATAGGTTGGGAGAATCTATGCACTGAGGCGACTGAGCTAACCACAGTTGGGTAATCGCACCCATCTGGTCCTGACTCGTCCCCAGTCTCTTGAGTTCATTGAACATTTTAATAAAACAAGGGAAGCGCGAGCGCGAAGGGTGATTGGGAGATCCTCTCCCCCAAGTTTCATCCAGACTTACTCGACCGTCGCCGCTGATATAAAAATTCTTCACTCCGCGGTATTTTCTTCAACTTTCCATCCAGATTTCCTGCCATCGTCGTAAAGCTGTTTCAAAACTTTTCTAAACTCCCCTTTCGCTGAAAACTGTTCGTATTTTCTGTAAAGTTGTAAAGCTGTGTTGGCATCTTCGGTGCTGTCGTGAGTTTCGGACTGGATTGTTAACCCTGCAATGATGATAGAAATTGAATCCTACTGAATGAATATAAACATCAAGCGATCAATCGATCGATCCATCAATCAGTTCCTTGAATTACAATGGAACACCTATTAAACGGCCACCCTTAGGGAAATGGACTGTGGTCGCTTAAAAGGGGCTGGCCACTTAATAGAGGTAGAAACAATAGAAAAGCCATCAGTGGGAATTTAGTTGCTGGCCGCCTAATAAGGGTGGCCGCTTAATAGGTGGACGCTTAATAGGGGTTCGACTATATCTATCGAGCAATCCGGTGGCCTCATGGTTAGTGCGCTCGACTCCGGATCGAGCGGTCCGCGTTCGAGCCCTGGCCGGGGACATTGTGTTTTAATCTTGGGCAAGATACTTTACTCTCACAGTGCCAGCGAATTTAATGCTGGGGGTAACCCTGCGATGGACTAGCATTCCATCCAGGGGGGGGGGNGGTGGCTGAGTTCCATTCACGGTTGTGGTCAAGTTCTCCATGCCATCGTTCTTCCAACATTCTGTTCTCATCTGCTTCGATGACTTGTAGATGCCGCTTTATTTATGTTTCTCAGTAATAAGGATGATTTTGAATCTGATCCGGTTATAACTTTGTGGCTAATCAGCAATTATATTACTGCTTGGATTTTAACTTTCAGTCGTCCAATCAAGCCGTTTTGCTACATGATAATCATGCTAAGCTACCACAGGGTAAAACTTAACTGATTTCGCAGCGAAGCTAGTCAAACTCCCTTGTCACACCTGCTAGCTAGTTTCATTTGACTCTGGTTATAAAAATGAAAAATAATTTCTTGTTCACCGATGTAGCAAGAAACAAGTCAATATAATGTTCTCGGCCTTTGCTTTAGGTCAACAGTTGCAGTTTGTAAGATAATTTCAAATGAAACGGTGTGTATTATTAGAACGAGAACAATCGCCCGTGGACTTACAGATGGCCTGATTGCAATAATCTATTGTCACTTTTTGAACAGGTTCTAAAACGAGTAAATGAAATCAAGCTAAAGTTGATAGTGTACCTTACGACAGCCAGTTATAGTTTCGTCTCCTGCCATTTTCGGCTCCCCATCAGGCAATTCATGAGCCCTCTTGGTCAGTCACCTGAACTGATCAAATATATACATTTTACATTTTATAGAATGTGGAATGTTTTAACCTCATCCTGTTGCGTTAGAGTTCTTTCTTTTCCTCGGCTGCTTTGAGGTAACATTCCAGAAATTCAGAATTTTCAATCTGGTGAAAAGAAATGTTAGCTGTCGAAAACTGACAAGGAACTTTGACTAGCTTCCGCTGCTAAATCAATCTAAATTTTGGCCTCTGGTAGCCTTTTATCAAGTGGCGTGCTAAAAGTGGCTACCCAGCTTGAGTTACAATCCCATGCACTAATTGCTGATAATTGACAGAGCTATACTGAACTAATTCAGCTTCTAAATCATCCTTAATACGTGCTTTGGAACATAAATAAGGCAGAATCTATAAGTCATCAAAGCAGAAGAAAGACAACCTGTAAAATGGCATGCTGACAGAATGATGGAAAACTTGATCAAACACAACGGTGAATGGAACTCAGCCACAAAACTGAGCTCCATGTATTAAATACTTTTTAAAATTTTGCAACAGATGTATGGGCTCATTTTAGGGCTTCTTCCACTCGGGCATTTTGCAGTTTTTATAAGCTAATTTTTCGTTACAAAAGATTTTGTTAAGAATTAGAAAAGTATAATTTCTGCAATGTTTTCCTTGAAGCAGCCGAGGAAAAGAAAGAATTCTTACGTAACAGAATGAGGGTAAAAGAATCCAGAACCTCTAAAATGTAAAATGCTAATTTGATCAGTTCAGATAATTGACTGGATGGGCTCATGAATTGCCCTCGAACTTCAAAAATCTCAGCACTGAATAATGAAAGACCCCGTTTAAAAGGTCGTTGCACGATCAATGGTCCCAAGAAGGTTTGAGCTCCATGTAGTTTTTAAAATTTTGCAACAGATGTTTTTAAGGCTTCTTTCACTCAGGCATTTTGCAGCTTTTATAAGCTAATTTTAAGCTAATAAGCTTAAGCTAATAATTTCTGCAGTGTTTTCCTTGAAACAGCCGCGGAAAAGAAAGAACTCTAACGTAACAGAATGAGGGTAAAAGACTCCAGAACCTCTAAAATGTAAAATGTTAATTTGATCAGCTCAGATAATTGACCAGATGGGCTCATGAATTGCCTTCAAGGAGCGCCAAAAATAGCAGGAGACAAAAAAACTTACTAGCTGTTGTAAGATATACTAACTATCAGTTTTAGCGTGAAATTATTTTACTCATTTTAGAGCCAGTTTAAAATTTTCTGTTAGATTATTGACATCTGGCCATCTGGGGGTCATTAGGAACAACAGCAGCGGCAGTTGTGTTTATTTACACGAGTGATTATTTTCTTCAGTCTAATAATACACACTGCTTCATTGGAAGTCGTCGCCCAAACTGCAACTGATGACTTGAAGTAATGACCCACAGCATTTATATCTCAGTAGTCACATTGACGAACGAGATTGTTTTATTTTCATTGTAAAAAACAAAACCAAATAAAAGTGGCAGGTGTGGCAAGAAAGTTTGATGAGCTCCCCTGCTAAGTGAATTAAGTTTTAGCCTGTGGTAACTTAAACTGATGATCATGTAGGAAAGCGGCGTGATTGGACAGCTAAAAGTGACTACACTGCTTGAATTACAATCCCATGCAATAATTACTGATTAGTCACAAAGCTATACCCCTGTATACCGGAATCAGATTTAAAATCATTCTAATTACTGAGAAACGTAAATAAGGCGGCATCTACAAGTCAGCAAAGCAGATAAAAACGGCATGCTGACAGAATGATTGAGAACTTGAACATAACGGTGAATGGAATTCAGCCACAAAACTGCTACAGTGATCTAAGAGCAGCAAAAATCGGGAAAACCTTTGTCTGCTGCCTGTTCCTTCTAGTTTCCCTTGCCGGAAATACCTTAATCGCAATAATTATCTACAAGACGAAAACAATGCGAACAACAACCAACTACTTTATCCTAAACTTGGCCATGTCTGATCTTCTGTTGCCAATCTTAGTTTTTCCGTTGAATCTCACAGAGATGCACGGTGGGTTCTGGTTTTTCAGTAGTGAACAAGGCCAGGCTTTCTGTAAGATGATGTTGTTCATATATTGTTTCTCTTCCATCGTGTCTATTGAAAACCTGGTCCTGATTACAGTGGATCGATTTAGAGCTGTGGTTTTTCCTCTTCGTCCTCCGCTCATCGGTTCAAAGCTGTCTCTCTTCTTCATCCTCAGTACTCGGGTAGCCGCAATGGCATTGTCGTCCCCATCTTTCTACGGCGTCAAGTCTGTTGAATACACAGGAAAATTTCAGAACTGTGAAAGATTATGGAGAAAAACCCTTATTGCACATAATTATCTTCATGCTATACCTTTTATTTTCCTGGCGATCGCATTCACCTTAATAGTTTTTCTTTACTCTATAATCCTGTTCAAGCTCAAGTTGCAGAAAACTCCAGGCGAACAAACGGTCAACGCTGTGAAACAACGCGAGAAAAGGGAAAGAAATGTGCTGAGGATGGCGGTAGCTATTTTGACAGGGTTTGTCTTATGCTGGGCGCCTTCGAATATTAATGCCTTTCTGACTGTTTTTATATCGGATAACACCAAAATGTTGTCCTGTGAGATTGTGACCTACTGGGCTATAGCCATTTTCATGGCTTACGCAAACTGTGCCGTAAATCCTTGAATCTGTTTTGCATTCAGTCGAAAATATCGCCAAGGTCTGAAAGCTCTCCTTGGATGCCACTGAACATTTTGAAGGCAAAATCTACCTTGTTCGAAATAATTATCGAGCGACGAAAATGCGAAGAATGATCCTGTACTTCATTGTAAATATGCCACAAACGATGTTCGCAAAAAAAATTTTTAGGAATAGTCAGCGCCGAAGAAGGAGAATAAAAGACAGGTTGAAAAGAACTCAACCAAATTTTTAATTACATGTACTTGTTTAGGAGGAAATTGAATTTTCTTCATCAATCTTCAGTGAAGACATTTTTACGAGACTTTGTTACACAAATTCGATTTCCTTTCCGTCGGTAACTATTGGCATACTCCTCATGTCTATAACCTGCGAACGCAGACATACGCGTATTTCCGGCTGTCGCTTGCCGTCTCCGCCGAAAATAGGGACCTTACGCATATACGACGGCGACGGCGAGGACGACGCCTAGTAAAAAATGTGTTTCTATTTTACTTTGGAATTTCGCATTTATTTGGAACTTTCCAGTGTGTCTGTCGGTATTAAAACTTGCCCCTGCTGAATATGCTACGAATGCGTTCAATTCCAAATAGAAATATGAAAAATTAGCCGTTGTGGTCACGTTCTCCACACGCAGAATTGGGTCATTTCACGTTGTTGTTTTGCAGAGGACGGCAAAGAAATGTACCAAGAATTATAACGCACGTGCACATCCATTGTTTTGCTCATTAAACCTTTTGTTTAGTGACGTTCTCGTTGCCGTCGCCGTCGTGTTTTGCGTAAGGTCCCTATTGGGTTAGTTTATTAGTTTTCGCCGCGAATCATATTTTGATATATTTCCTCCTTTGATCTTGATTTTCAATGTAGATCAGTATTCTAGACCTTTATGTTATTTTAAGAAGCGTGTGAGTTAATTCCGATGAAGAGAAACTACAGCGCATGCTAAATTGTGCCCTTCGTTTTGCTGTCTCCGGTTGTTACGATAGGAGCTACGTCTAGCAAGCAGCACCGTTCAGCTCTCAAAATTGTATGTACTTGGCAAAGATCCTTTCGAGCGACACAACCATTCATCCAACTATAGCTATTGAACGGTAATCTTCAATCAAAAATGCTGTATTATTTAACTTTTAGATACAGATTGGGTCATGTCTGCTTACTTGTGGTATCGTGACGACTGTTGATGTCTCTTCGTGTGAACACAACGGCACACGGGAGTTTCCAATCCAGCGAAAAATGAACCGCATCGCTCTGCAGGGAAATCATGACGTGAGTTAATATACCGTAAAATTCCGAAAAAAGCCCCGGGGCTTATATTTTTCAAAGGACCTTTCTGAGGGACTTATTTTTGGAAGGGGCTTATATTCGGAGGGGCTTATTATNCGGCAAAGAAATGTACCAAGAATTATAACGCACGTGCACAACCATTGTTTTGCTCATTAAACCTTTTGTTTAGTGACGTTCTCGTTGCCGTCGCCGTCGTGTTTTGCGTAAGGTCCCTAATAACGTCTGCGAACCCGAGCCAGGAAACGATTTCTCTGACGTAATGACTTTTGTTTCTCTTTGGCCAATCAGATTCCATGATATAATGAAACTCGAGTGTTCCTGGCAGCGAATAACTCGGCAAGAGTTCTGGGGCTACTTGAGCTAAACTGTGATTGGCTTAAAATTTCTACGTCACAGAAACCGTTTCATGCTGGCTCGGGTTCGCCGACGTTATTTTCGAGGGAAACAAGCGACAGCCGGAAATACGTCTGCGTTCGCAGGCTGCATGTCTAAGGAGAATCTTTTTTAGCAATATTTGCTTCATTAGCATAAGTTATGAGCATGCTTTCCTAAATATGGATACATTAATGTAAATTTAAAAAATAACGAAAAAAGTTGCCGGATCGTCAATTCCAACGTAGAGTATTGCAACCAGGCCATCTGGGCGTCATTGAGAACAACAGCTGTGGGTTTGTAAATTTACCCAGGTTAATTCTATTTCGTTCCGATAGTACAAACCGCTTCCTTTGAAATCACCTTACAAACTGGTGACTTAAAGCAATGACCGAGAGCATTCATTTCTAGTTACAATGATGAATAGGATATTTTGTTTTATGATATAAAAACCATTGTACCAGGTGAGCATTCGCGCGAAAACATTATATCTTCGCACGTGAAAATGACATGCTATCTTCACATGTAAAAAGCTCACTGTTGCTATGGTTACAAAATAAATGGCGCCTTTTGCAGCGAAAGTGAAATGTTTTGAGATTTCGTTGATGTTTAAATAATAAACAGAACATTACATGGCTGCTTGGGGATACGAAATTCCTCAATCTTCTCGTGTTGAAAAATATTCTTCAACACTCGAAGAGAAATTTCGTATCTCTCCACTGCCATTTAATATACTCTATACTACAATCGCATTTGTCGAATAATATATACCTATCTCAGGATTTTTAGCTTGTTTAGAAGTTAGATCATTCGGAAAAGTGCTTATGTAAATGTTTGTTTGTTCAATACAGATAATCAATTGCCTAGATAGCCAAAGTAAGTCCCAGATCTTTACACTATTTTCTGGCCGCCATATTGGTGCACCACAGAGGTGCACTAACATGGCGTTTCCATACTGGGCTCTGTAAATTTCTGCGAAACATTTCGACAAATATCTGCAGTCTGGGAAAACGCACAAACCTAAAACTTGGAGAAGTGTCTTCTTTATCTATTTCCTATAGGATCACAATTTCTTGACGTTATCCACTGAATGGTTTTCGATTTATATTTTAATTGCGTAACAGTGAAAACGATCTATTTATTTCAGAAATAAAAAGAGCTGGTGTGCCGGCTAAAGAAGTTTGATTAACTCTGCCGCTAAGTTTTAGGCCGTGGTACATTTATTGCATGATGATCATGTAGCAAAGCGGCGTGATTGGACAACTGAAAGTGACTACACTGCTTGAGTTACAATCCCATGCAATAATTGATTCCTGATTAGTCACAAAGCTATAACAGAATCAGATTCAAAATCACTCTTATAACTGTGAAACGTAAATAAGGAAGCATCTACAAGTCATCAAAGCAGATAAAAACGGCATGCCGGCAGAATGATGGAGAACTTGAACACAAAGGTAAATGGACTGATGTCCAATTTATTACTCAATTTTGGATCGACCAAAACTGCCTTAAATAGCAAATATATCAAATTTCATATCGTTTCCTAAAGAGTGTTGCTGTAAGTGTGATCGTACACTGAATAAAATAGCCAAACAACCCTTTACGTAATTAACGCTATATCGACCTGTTCATGGATCCGAAAAAGTTTTCTCTGTCGTTTCGGTGTTCGTCCAAAGTAGAGCTCTCTGATTTCACGGTCATGATTTGAGCTAGCGCAATTTACTGCAAGCTTGTCAGAATTAAATGCTCTATACTCCTCGTTTGCCGCAGAGAAACGCCATAGCTGCTGAGTGTTTCAAAGAATCGACATTTACTGTGATAGGCAAGTGAGTACTCAACCACCACCACCCCCCCGCCCCCCTTACCTCTCCCCTCCCTTCCCCTCTGTCCTCCAGCACTAACAGCCGTACTATAAATTCACACCAGTTCTCGGGAATCTCAAACGTCTGTCACTTAATTCGCTGACTATGATCTGTAATTTGAAGCAACAGACTTATGGCTCTCCAAGTAACTAGATTCTCTAGATAGCTATAATTTTATTCTCAGAAGAAATTAAAATTTGCAATAAATGTCAACTTTTTTAACGTGTATTACTTTCGTGGTTCTATATAGAATTTGTGAATGAACAATGTATCGCCAGTGGAAGACATTATAAACTTCGTTGTGAAAGTTGTTGACAGAACAAAAACGTGGACCAACGATTCAATGTTTTCAATACTAAAAATATATATTTGTGCCACTTTTTAATAGGCATTTTAATTATTTATGGCAACCACAAGATGTGGCTACAACAAAAAAACTGATAAAATAAAATTCTTTAGAGCTATTAAAAGTAATCACGAAGATTTACAAGCAAAGACGTTCTTGCGACGGTTCGTATATGTACGCTCTTTCTGGGTCGCTAGCCATCAGTGATCCTCAATGCCCGCAGCAATGCAATAAACTGTCTCGACCGTTATACAAAGGAGGAAACCCTTTGAATGAGATAAATGAGTTGTCGACTTGAGGGGAAGAATCATCAAATAAATATTTTACTTTCATGGTGTTGGCATAAAAGGACCCTTTTGCGTGAAGGAATCGCTTTATTTCCCTAACGGGCAAGAAGTAAATTTTTAAGATCTGATTACGATTTCTAAAATCTCAGTGTGCATTTTATTAAAAGCTTTCCAAATCTTGACAATCCCTATTTGATGATTTTCTGTTATCTCTTTAGAAGCTTTTTTCTTTAATAAGGCATTAGTTGGTGGGTTTCTTTCGATTTCAAATGGTTTTATTAACATTTCATAATTACTGCATAATAGGCATTCAGACGCCTTCAAGAACCAGAACGATATATCAAGACCTTTTCGTTCGATTCATCTTGAAAATGAAGCAGTACATTCAGTAAAGATTTTACTGAGAGAAAAGTCGTGTAAAGAAAGATTTTTAATTAGTTAGCTCTAACGGTAAGTATAACAACCGTGGAATGAACTTGAAGTTCATGAAACAGCACCCGTTTCTTTTGAGCAAAATAATGCAACTCATCAGCCTTCCTATGTGCAGCTATTCTGAGCTATTTGACAACTGAGAGTCGTATCTGTGTAAAACCGTTCCCTACTTTCCCTCGATTCCTTTCGTCTTGCATGGTGACCAATCAGCTTCTCTGCTAGTTATATAGCGGCAGGGATAAAACGAGAATATTGTAAAGTAAATAGCTGTCAGTATTTCGAAGCAGCCGCCCTCAGTGAGAAATGTTTTTGTGACCATTCAATTCCCTCGAGTATTGATGATTCAATTTCATTTTGGCGGGGGGTAACTTATTGTATTGTCCTACCTAGCTTTGTAATTTTGCACGCGTAAGTTTGTTTTTATTTCATTTTTATCAAGTTATCTCGGTATTTTTATGACGTCGGACCTGATACATAACATTGATATTGCTATGTTAATATGTTGCGCAGCGCTGGGTAGCAATGGCTAGCCTGCGGCACTCTTAAATTAAGCTTGTGATAATTCTCGACTGGAAAATTGGAAACAGTTTCTCTTCAGACTTGTTCCGATGTCAGGTTTTTACTTCCTGGCCTAGACTGTTTTAGCAATCTTGACTTTAATTTGTTTATTCTATGCAAGAAGAATTAGATTGCGGTGTTATTTTATAAGTAAAGACGAATGTTTAGAATCGGGTCTGCTGCCACCGCTTCGGTCTTCTCCGATCGTTTAGCTCTGCGAATCGTTTATTTGATTAACAACTCTGTACAAATTGTCAAGAGAGGCATAAAATAAAATTTTCTAGATAAGCTAAGGATGACAATGAAGTTTTAAAGCGGTGTTCTTGGAAGTTTCGACGGCCAATGAGTTGTGCTTTGGGCAAAATACGCCACTAAAAGAATTTCATTTTTAATCGCAGGAAAAAGTAAGAAGGAACAGATTTTCTGGTTGAATATAAACATCAAAATATTCATTTGAAAACAGACTTGGCTATTTGAAACCCAGCTTGCCTTCTTGATTTTTATCAACTTCTCGTCTGCCCAGCGGTGTGCTCATTGTTTAGTTGTTATAAAGCTCCTGACAACAGACATTGAATTTAGATTAAAATTCATATTCACTGCAAGATGCTAGTATGCGTGACCCGCGAAAAAAAAATCCCTTATTAGTAACATCCCACATAAATCATTTTAGCCTTATAAATTGAGCTTAACTGCCCATAAATACTTATCATGGTAAGATCTATGATCGAGGAGCCGCATTTTCCGGCTCCGCAAGCTACTGTTTATTTCAACATCAAGTTAGTCTTGATATGTAAATTGTCAAGACTTTGCGGACCCCTTATAAATATGGATTATTTACAGAGAAGTCAAGAATAAATGAAATTAATTTGAGAGTTGCCCGCCAGATAACCGTGAAGGTGTCGCATGAGGACAGCCATCCTGATTTTTAACTCAAAGGAAACAACTTTTTCAACGTCCGCCCGGCTGAGGAACTAACGGATAGCTGAATATATTATTATTATATTATTGGATCGGAAAAGAAAAATGGATTATAGCCCTCGGAGTGCGTTGAGTGCAAGACACCGACAGTTATTTCCTTGCATTGGGTATGAAAACTGATCTTCTTGTTTAGGTGCTATTTTTAGATTGTAATTGTGCTCATTCAAAATTTGCTTTTGTGAAATTGAAATGACAACTCTTAGCTTCCGCTGAACGCCCACAAAGTTTTGACAACGAATTTATATTATGAAGGTCAACATTGAAGGCAAACGAAAATGAACAACCACTGATTTATATGGCTTGACCATTCCAAATTCTCGTTTTAGCAAAGTATACTTCGTTTCGTTCCAAGCCAGCATCTAAAGCTGTTTAAACTGACTTTGTCAACTTCCTCTTCCTTTGCCTCTGATATTTGTCTAAGTATGTTATTTTTTCCCAGTCACTGAGTTGCATAAATAAACTAAAAGCTAGAGAGTACCAAATTAGAACTTCAGACATGACGGCAATTTGTTTCTTCTTGTGATAGCCGACAGCGACGCGTTGTAGAATTTGTCATTAATTAATCAATTGAAAATTATTATCACTGCAACATATAGCTTTCTAAATTCTATCCCCTTCAGGGAGGTTTAATTTGCTGATTTATNATCTGCCGATCACGAATCGGACTCCAAAGCCATCTCAGAAAATGTTTAAGGAAATGTACAATTACTAACACACGCTAAAATTATGGACTAGATTGTCCGTTAATGCCAATACCAATATACACCCTTCGTATGGTATTCACATCAGAAGCGAACTGAACTGTGTGTTACTGTACTGTTGCTGCTGAAAGCAACAACTCTCTCTCCATACCGGTGATATGGGAGTGATAGCAAAATCGTTGAAAAGGTACCACTGGCTGCATGTGACGCCCTGAAAAGAAGAAAAGATAAGATAAGAACTTTTATTTAAGTGTCAAAGTATTTAGCCCTAGCGGACTAATTGGGGACACTTCTATGCACTTGAAGCCTGACTTTCAGTTTATCACATAAGTGCGCTGTCGGTCCACACGAAAACGAAAAGCCAGCGTTTTCAAATTCCTGCGGTTTGAAGAGCGTTTTCGAAAAGCTCCGTTTTCGCGACGGATTAGTGTGGACGGTAGGCCTAACCGTAGAAATAAAGCTGCGTCTTAAAATTTCTCCGGCGTAGTGTAGACGATACCTTAAAGAAGATAAAGATTGAAATAAATCATTAACTAATAATGTTCGTACCTCCTTTCTGCTGTGGTAGGTTGTTCCAACATGTATGTGCGCCACTAAGTTTCCACCAGACTTAAAGTCCTGTACATGGCCCACAGTAGCTAGCAAGTCATACACGATCTCGTTCTCTGAACATTTTACCTTCTGATTCTACAAAATAAGCATGAAAGAACAGCTCTTAACTATGTTAGCTGTCAATCTAAACTGCACATTGATCCATATTTATGATTGTGAAATTTTTAACCAATTGCAATTAAAATCTCGATTAACATTGCGATGCCAGATTGAAACTGCGATACTATGACCCTGGTTAAAAATCAAAGATCCCCAAACGATTTTTTGAGACCTCGCAAAGATTCTGAAAGATTTGGATGGCTTTTAAAAAAGAATTCAGCGACCCTTCCAAAAATGTATAGCAAGGTTCCTTGAAGATAATCGAGGGTTTGAGGAGATTTTCCCCGGAATCTTCAAAGATCCTTGGGAATTGTTGCGAGACGATTCAGGACCCTTGAGGATTATCGCACTGCCAAGAGGTTCTTTTCCGGCAAAAGTTTCTAACAGCTGGAACTTTGTACTGGCATAGCAAACGCAGTGAAATCTGGCAGAAGCCCAAACTTTTCCAAAGCTTCCATTACAACTAGATAACTTAACACATAATCGTGAAGTTCGCTTACTTTTCAACTTTTTCATCCGCATTTCATATGTACATATATGATTCAACGGTCATATTTGCATTTTCACGAGAGTATCTATCAAATATGTTACGTTTAAAACAACCTGACCCACGGTCGTCAAAATGACTGTGAACATGGGCGAAATAAAATTAACCACTCTCGAATTCAAATAGTTGCCAGTGTACGTACCTCATCAATCTTGGTCACTTGTATTTCACCAGAATCAAAAGATATCTTTATTGATAATGGAATCCAACCAGTTACTTCCTCCTCTTCGGTATTGACCTCCGAACGTCTAACCAAAAAAAAAACTTAAGATAAATAACTAGAAAAATAGCCCACATTATCGTTTTCGTAGGGTCTGATATCAGTTTCCGCTGTCCTTACTTGAATAAAACGTTCTGGAACGAAACAAAACGCTGGGCCTAGAATTGCGCATATGTCAAGGCTAAGATCATTTCGATTTCACATAGGTTTTCAAAAGTCTCCAGCACGATTATTCGAAACTGTAACGTTTTGAAGTATTTACTTTTCATAGCGTTTTCTAAAATTCCGTTTTCGATGAAAGCTATCAACGTTTTTCATTGTTTAAGCGAAAACGATAGGCTAAAAGGGATTACAATTTTGCGTTTTCAAACGAGCGGATGATTTAAATTTAAAGCGGTACATGCAACGCGTGGGGTATTCGCGAATATACAACGGCTCTCTAGTCTTCTTATTGCAAAATTGAAAAACCGGCGGATGATTAAACTGATTCAACAAGGTGTCACTTTTTGCTCGCTTAATATTCCCCTCAATCTAAAGATGCATGAAATGTCAAATATCTGTCGAGAAGGGAAAGAATTAATTGTGCGAACAGAGAAATTTCCATACCCGTCCTCTGAAGCAGCGTCTCTGTCATGTCTGAATTTGCAGTCAGGTCTGGTACAAGCATTGCCATATCTACAAGCACGACCGGATGATGGAACGACTGTGGGTTTCTCTTCAGGTTTTGGCGGATCTAGCAACTGGAAAAAAAAAAGGCAAGAGCTTTAACGCCGCGTTTGATTTGTGCGTTCGCGTTTTCTTTTGTGTTTCTCTTCACTATCTGAGAACCTCGGCCTAGCTATCGTTGGGAATTCACAGCATCGGTATTACTTCAAAAGTTGCCGGCAAAGCCTGATTCTCAGACGAGAATCAGGTCATCGTGAGTCCTGAATATTGGATTAGAGATGTCTAGTCATATTAACCTGCTGTTGCAATCTCCAAAAGTCAACTTCTTTCGTGTGTTCCATGCCACAGTTGAATGCTAAGATATCTGGTAGCTTCTTAACTTTACGAATTTGAACCTGCGACGGAAAAAGAAAGTTGTACCGAGTTGATAAAACTTCTACAAAACATTTTAGTTCCTAAGAAACTATTTAAACAAATGAAACTGGCCATGCACTTTCATCCTTTCAATTCCACATGTATCGCTTCTCCCAAGAATTCACCGCAAGAAAGAAGAGCGGAGGTTTCTTTAGTGGTGCTTGCAATTAATACCCGATCAAATATAACTGAAACAAATTTAAAACTACCCAATCTGCGATTACTGCTAGAATTCAAAACGTATCGTGAAGCGAAGAACTGCCAAAAGCGCGAGCCACGAGAATCCTAGTCCCTTCTCGTTTTAACCTTTGATTTGTAAAATAAATAAATTTCGTAAGGTACTTATTGCAGTCAAAGACTAACATGGCTTGCGAAGAACAACTTATTAATTAAAGAGTTTATCGAATGGCAACCGTAATGGCTGTTACACTGCAAAGGGATAACATTTTCTACGCGCATTAGTTCAACTGATATTTGCTCAGATCTTCACAACACTTACTGTAGGCTGGTATCTGGAACACTGCTCACACCAAGCTTGCATGCTTTGTTCTCGGCACAAACTCGATAACAACACGGACTCGAAGCTCACAGGACCCAGTTGTTTTTCTATAAAACGACAACAGAAAATAGTTATGTGTCAAATGGCATACTCGGCCTTGTGTGAAAACGGGACGGATAAAATTTTTAGACGAATAATTCGTCTAACCCGACCTTATCCGTCTAAACTGAGCCGCCAGCGAAAAAGTAGTCTGTAATAATAGCAGACGAGTTGTTAACCTGCAGAACAGGCGTAATTTTTTTGCGTATTTTAGGCGAATAGAGGGGAAAGCAAGGCGAGCGCGAAGCGCGAGTCGCGCGTGAGGAAAACTGAGAGCGCGCTCTTCCCCTCGCGCGTGACTCGCACTTCGCGCTCGCCTCGCTTTCGCCTCTGTTCGCCTAAAATACGCAAAAAAATTACGCCTGTTCCGCAGGCTAACGAGTAATCCGTTATCCGTCTAAAATTGCAATTTATTAATATTTCGTTAATATTATTGCGTTCAGTTGTAGAGGGTACTTTATTGTATTTAATTTTTCGTTATATCCAAAGAAGATTTCATTGGAAACTTAATCCGAGTTCGCCGTATTCACAAGAAAAAGTTTGGTTAACATCTTTTGAAAAAGACGAGACCACAACTATAAAGTTGGCCTGTTACGCCCAAGTTCCTTAAAACCGGGTTACACTATAGACAGTTTCTAAGAAAAGCAAGTCAAGAGCGTCCCAATATTTTCTTACCGTCAGACACTTCAGGGTATTCTAGATTGAAGAGCAATGTGGTGGAATCCCTTTTGGACTCTTTACCACAACGACAGCGACTCAGCAGCTGCACATTTGAACCAAACAGGCGATGGATTATGGAAGACTGCTGCGATTTGCTGGACCTACAAAAGAACAGAACACAAGTAAACCTTAATGTCAACACGATGGATAGCAAAATGGCAACTACGTAACGCGTGATCTGATTGGTTGCGGCCTGATTCGGTTGCATGCGCGAAAGGAAATCAATTTTGGCGCCAAAAGTGGATCTGAGGTAAAATATTGTACTCACGGATTTTGTTTCTCTTCCCTTACTCCTTCCGCATTAGCAGGTGGTTCAAGAGTGTCCTGTCGGTGGAGAAGTGGCAAATACCAAAGTAAAGTTGAATTAGGATTGTCTGAGCTGTACATGAACTCAGTCTGAGAAAGACAAAGCGCGCGGCAACTTAGATACTCTAAACGCTTGTCGTAAATCGGCTGTAGTTTACCTGGTGCATTTGTTGAAGAACGAATCTAAACCAACTCTGTATCAAGCGAGGAAAGTTAGCATTTCCGAATGATTCATCAACATCGTTCAAGACTAAACCAAGCGCTGCTGCCTCAGGAATGGTGCGGAAAGCTCGAAGAAAGTTGTTGGCCTGTGAGAAAAGAAAAACACAAGATCAGTTAGCAATGAATACTCGTGAGGCTGTTGTCAACTTTATTGTCTTAAAATGAACATCCACATGGAGCACCAATGAATCAGCCTTGCATAAATTTTGGAGAAGATATGAAGGAAGAAAGTATCCCTGAAGTCATAGAGACTACCAAAAGTCCATAGAAATGATTCCCATTCAGAGGTTATTTGGAAACCTTTTGTTCAGAAGAATGCTTTAAAGGTCACTCCAAAGAGCCTTTTTTTTTTGTCTTCGCCTACAGCAAGTAAACATTCGACTTTTTCACTCACCGAAGTTTCAGCCGCTAAAATGACTGCTTTCCTGAAGAAATTCGTCTCGAGAGAAGCGACTTTGGAGGCCGCCATTTTGAACTGTACTTGGCAGCCAGGCCGTGTTTATGTGACGTAATTCCGTCCGACTCGAAATTGGCGGGAAAGAGAAAAACCTGCAACTGACTTTGCATCCTTCACAAGGTCAGTAAAATGTTCTTTTTCCAAGCAATTATCCCCTTCCCTATTTTCACTGCTTTCATTTTCGGAGTTTGGAGCATGTTTGGCCCAAAATAACACGCCTTCAGAGCAGCCATAGCCCCGAGTGGTAGTTAAAAGGCTTGTCGGAAGCCATTTGGACAAAATGTCTTGGACGGAATGACGTCACGAAAACGCGGCCACGCTACTGAGTACTGTTCAAAATGGCGGCAACGTGTCGAATTTTGAGCTTCTTTGGAGACGAATTTCATTAGGAAAACCCGGCTGCACTTTAGAAGCTGAAACTTCGGTGAGTGACTAAACTTAGTGCGAGGTTTTCATTATCTCGAGTTTTGATTGGTTCACTGTATTGTCTGTCCTTTGTGATTGGTTTCACAACATTCAATTGAAAACTGCTCTAACGTAAATGACCAATGAGACACCCGGATAATTATGGAACTCTTTATAGTGGAACATTACGAGTGTTGGGTTGCCATTCTTGAATCCGACTCAAACGTTTTTTTTTTTTCTCGGAGCCACCCAAAAGAAAGGACGTCCATTTTCTTAGTTTAATCCAACTTTGATGAAACTGCATAAAAAGAAAAGACCGGTCATTTTGTAGGACAGTAGAACTTATGACTGAAGGACGGATAAAGGGTGTGTGTTACCTGACAAGTTTGTCCAGATGACATGTCCAACATGTGAAACAAGAAGCCAAGCTCACAGGCCAGGCAAAATTCACGATGGCACAAGTGATTTTGCATGCCAACTCTCAGCGGCTCGATAAAATAAAACAGCTAGGAGGAAATAAAACAGAGCGAGAAGTCAGAGTGACATACACAGGAACAAATACTTTAAACTCCTCAATATTTATAAGTCAGTTCTGTATATCATTATGATAGCTACGGAAACCGAACGTTCCGTTCCGACCAACTGCGAAGTTCAGCCAATTTAATCCGAGATTAACGCACAGCTAGCGCAACATACAACATCTCTCACGTAATATAACGACATATAACAAGGCCAAAAAAGTTTTGAAATAAAACTCTTGCCAGAGATTGATAACTTGTGAAGAATATTTTATTTTTTGGAACTTTTCCTACCTGTAGCATAGCATTACAGTAAGCGTTAGGAATGTGTGTTTCTAAGCCAGCAAATAATGTTCTGTTGTAGTGCTTGAAATCAAAGTCCTCAACACCTGAAAAGGAAAATAAATTGGCGGCCAGCGAGTTAGTCTGAATTTACCGTCACGACACGACACGAAACGAAAAGAAGCAAAACAAAGAAATCCGAACAGATCAACAAATGAGCCAGCAGGGTTTAAAGTATAAGTTTATCACCATTCTACTAAAAGACGCTTGTCTTGGGTTTTCTGTTAGACAGTACAACTTGGGAAAATAAAGAAAACTTGACTTTGCGTCAATTACTAAGTCAACGCTTCAGGAATTAAACTTTTCATTGTGATATCTTTTGACACCAGCAAAGAGAACAACAAAGATACATGAAGGCTTACAAAACGGTGAAACTTAACTTACCAAGTTTAGAGTATTTGATCTCTACTCTTCTATAATGTTTTGGAATAACACTTCCAGGGTCATCCTCTAAAAACAAATGTCCATAGTGTTATTAGTCTACTGTGATCGTACAAACATTCTGTACATTTACAGAGATGTGCAGTATCAAGTCATGGGTATGGCTTGGAATAGCTTACAGTACCTCGGTTCATGGGAGAATCTGGAACAGTATTTTCTTCCTCAGGAGTGATCATCGTGGCATCTTTAAGAGGGTATGCTACCTGAAGAAATTTCACAGCCAAAATGTTAACGAAATTCAAATGAAGATGTACACAAGTGCGTGAGGAAACGGTCGTATTTTTAGAGTAAAAATGTCTACGCGATTAGAAATAAGTCTGTAGAGCATAAAAAATAAATAAATAAATAAATAAATAAATAAAAGAAACTGCAAACAGAACTTAGGCATCATGAGCCGCTTAAAGGCGCTACGTGACGGTTTGCGCATTTTTAAAAGTTTAGCCTAAATATTTTCAAGTTCGTCATTTGTAATCCGTGTTAATCTGCTCCATTCTTAGAGGGTCCACAATAGGGCTCTCAGATCCCGCTTTCCCGCCCATTTTTTCCTGTTAATCCCGCCATCCCGCCCTTTTTTGCCTAGAAATCCCGATCCCGCCCACTTTTTAAAGATGTTTCTGCGTTAATTATTAATTTGTTAAATTAATAGTTAATTTAATTATTAACACAAAAACTTTTTAAAAATAGGCATCGCATAAAAGATCACAAAAGAATTCAATGGCTAGCAGATAAGTAAGAACAAATGATTATAACGTTTCTTTCTGTAAACGGTTTACTGTTTTGCTTTCTTTTGTCCACGTATCAGTGAAAGAAATGATTGTTCATTCCCATATTCAAGACTTGACCCGCAAACACAATTGACAGTTTCCTTCAAAGCTTTCAGCGTCTTCACTTTCCTTGAAATCTGGGCTCACAACTTTTCTTTCCGAATGAGGCATTCCTGCTCGCAAATCCTTTTCGTAATATATGGTGGCGCAATTCGTAATGTTGCATACTTCGTTCGGTAAATCACTATCACCGCCATTCGGTGTGGCCATCCTGCCCAAAACAAGGCAAGCGCTCTGGAAAAGGTCAAAAGACTAGAAACACTAGAAAGGATCAGGGGGCCAAGATTGCAGACGCAAGCGTCGAAAATGTTGGAAATGGACAGATGTCATTGATGTCGGAGGTCAATACAAATGATTGCAATAGGACTCAAAGACCTCATACAGTTTCATGATACTAACGTGGTCAAGCGATAATGGATACATTTGACAGAACCTTACCGAGTACAGAGCTGTTGCTATTCATTACTTGAAACCTGACACAGCTATACGTACAAAAGGTTCGTTTCTGCCAGCTTGTGGGTTTTGCGCTGGTCAATAGCTAGTTTTAACATGACGTCATTAAAATTCGAACTACAAAACCATTGATCTTCCTGAGATTTTACTTAAATGATGTATAAGAGCAGCTGANCCATACGGATGGGCACCAGCATGGCGTCTCCATACAAATCTCTATAAATTTGGGTAAAAAATTTCTCCGCATATCTCGCATAAGAAAAATTGCTCTGACCAGAATTTTGGCGAGAGTCTTTGCATATTTACCTTCTTTCAATTTCCAGATTCTAGACTTTATCTATTGATCGGTTTTGATTTTGATTTTGATCTATTTTGAATTGCGTGACACTGAAAACCAGCAATAACAATTTATGTGGTCATGTAAGAATTTAAATCCCGTATCCCGCTCTGTTCCCCTTGCGAATCCCGCATCCCAACCCCATAAAAGCACGAAATCCCGCTCCCGCTCGTAATTGTAATTCCCGCTTCCCGCCCCTGTTTTCTGCTCAAATCCCAGATATCACTGCGAATAAAAGCCAAATCCCGCATCCCGCCAAACCTATTGGGGATCCTCTTCTTAGCCATCCTTGTTCCTTTATGGTTTATTAATATCTCTTGGTATTTTCCCTATCTTAGTTAACTTCTATTTTTAGCTTTGCTTAATTTAAAGGCAATTTGGTACCTGTCCACAATAACTCAAAATGCCGAGACTGAGCTCCTTTAAGGAGAGGCTAGTAAATTTGAATGAGAAACTTCCTGTTTCTAACGTCGATGTAAAACGCACTGTAACCATTTAAAACATCTAGAGATGAACATGACCAATTTCACCTTACACTTTTAATAGATTATCAAGCAGACAGGCGATAAGAATAGAAATAATCATCAACAACGCGACATTGCTGTGATGTACACCAGATTCTCAGAACTACCATTGATGACAGACGGTAAAGAAACGGTAAGGAGAATTCAGATCTTCATCGAACGTGAGAATAAAGTGCTCAGTAAACAGTGAAAAGCAGAACAAATACGGAAGCACAGAAAATTAATACCTGATTTCGTTTTCTGTTACCGGGGTTTGGTGCATAGCCAATGAAATGCCTAACAACCATAGTGCGGAGGATTTCAGGTTCAATTGCGGGAGTAGGTCTGGAACAGAATGAAAAGCTCAGCAAATGCAACCCAAGGTAATGACATACTAACTGTATCACTTACTTACAAGTGGTCTAACAATAATACATTGTTGTCGTAAAGCTATTATTCTCTTTTTTTGTTTTTTTAGTGTTAGTCAGGAGGGTAAAAAAGATAGAACTTCACGTGTTCCCTGCTTAAATCTATTACAGAATGAAGGATTTCAGAGAATTGACTTAAATCATGCTTTTAGGGCAGTATGTTCTTAAGCTTGTACCTTGTGAACAAAAGTACCTACCTGTCTGCAGCCATCATATTTTCTTCTGGCCAGTCAGAAAGAAGCGGCCCACTGTGGGAAAAGCAAGCAGCAATAAACAAAACATTGTTTCTTATAAAATACATAATCAGTATTTCGTGTTAGAATGACGGCTCAAGTAGTTTGTGAAAAACAGTCCAAGATGCAAAATTTCAGTTACAGGTGAAATAATTTGAATCCCTTTTGGGAGTATGTGTTTAAACACATGGTGTATTTCTGAAGTCTAGGCTTTGAACGCATGATAAGATGCTCATTTCCCGTGGTAAAAAAATTGCGAACAATTTTGTGATGATTTCCAAAAAGTTCATAACAGCTGAAAAACTCACATTAGGCACAAATTTCCTCCTTTAATTCCAACAACTAAGATAATTCTGGATACTACAAATAAATTCCAAATGTCCACTAACCTGTCTACTTTTCTTTATGTAATAACAAATACTATATCGAAGTCACTTACTTGGGCATTGGAAGAGGAAAAGAAGATAACGGGACTGAGTAATCATCAATGGCCAGTGGAGGAAGATGAGGGATCTGCCAGATAACAACAAATTATTGTATTGGCCAGAAATTAAAATGTGAAGGAACTTGCAAAAACCATCTGTTATGAGCATAACGATCCATATAATGAAAACTTTATCTTTACTGTTGCAAATTAAAGGGGCTAGGTCAAGCTATTTTAGGTAATTTTGTTTAATTTTGTTAATTATGAGCTCTAAACATCAAATAGGCAGAGCAAAAGCCTTTCATTTGCAAAATCACGGCCACATAACAACTGAGAATGATTTTCCAGCTGTGTAAATGACATTTTGATATAAACTGATATAAATTNGAGATCTTCTATAGTTTTGAGCCGTTTTTGTGATATTTTAGTTAATTCTATGACCATTTGATCAGTGCTGAAATTGCCTAAAATTGCATGACCTAGCCCCTTCAAGGATACACGTAAATTTGCCTGTTCTCCGCTAATCACAATGAAGTCATTTTCTCAGTCATACAGTACGGGCAAGAAATATAGTTTTTGGTCAACTAAAATGTAAATGCAAGAGATAGGTGATATCAAATGCTTTGTCTGCAACTCCGTTCTTACTTGCAAACTTTCTGAGGAAAGGAAACTGAAAACTCTGATCCTAAAGGTAGAAAATTGCAACCCAGTCACTTACTGGATGTGCAAACTCTGTAGGCCTTGAGTATACGTTGTATGTTACTTCTTTTTCCTGGGTGTCTCCCCAGAGATGTGTATTACCTGTAAATGAAAACTCACAAGAGTTTGAGGATTGTACACAATCTTAACAGTAATCCACTGTACAGATACAACTGTAAGAAATACCAGTCGTATACTTGTGCAATGCAGTTTTAGCTGCATATTGTAGTTACAATAAAGTAATAAATTCAATATATGCCACCCATCTCAATACACAAATTACCTCCTGCATCTCCAAATACCATGGCCTGGCAGGTAGCAGAAATGTCAAAAGTTGTGCATAAGGTGCCGTGAGTGTTCACATGATACACCATCATTGATGACTGCGTGACCAGACCACCTGGCTCATGAAGCTGGAACTGACCACTCTGAGGGAATATTCAGATATTTATGACTCAATAGACAGGAATCAACATCATAGACAGGAATTAATATGTAATTACTGATAGTAGTCTGAGTAGGGCCAAGTGGTCCATACTGACAAGCTTATTCCAGTCTCTATAACATTAAGTGACTAAGAGTATTTCTACTCCCCCCTGGATGGGATGCCAGTCCATTGCAGGGTTACCCCCAGTATTATATTTGCTGGTTCCCACTTATACACCTGGGTAGAGAGAGGCACTGTGAGAGTAAAGTGTCTCGCCCAAGAACACAACACAATGACCCCCGCCAGGGCTGGAACCTGGACTGCTCAATCCAGAGCCCAGAACATTAACCATGAGGCCACTGTGCCTCCCATAATAGTACTGTATATAAAATGTCTCATTCAGTTGAAAACCACTCAACATGAAAAAAAAAGAAAAATAGATGATGATGGCAACGTCAAATGAGCGTGACTGTACTGACCTGAGAAACTACAGCTACTCTTGATGTAAATGCAGGTACAAATTTTAACATCAGTGGATCAATGGCAACCTACACAGTCAAGCAAACACATGTAAGGCACCAGACAGTGTGTTGTTACAGTTAATGCTTTATGTGTTCGTCACCCTCTGGCTGAGAAACTGAAACAAGAAACATTTTTCTACTTTCTCTAAATCTATTTTCAGTAATGTGGCATCATTCATTGAGCCATTTGTAGCTGAATGTTATCCTTGGCTTAGAAGTAATGACTTGGCATTTATATACAGCACTTCTGACTAGTAAATTAATTCGGTATGTACCTGTAGTAGAAGCTGCTAATGGAGTACACAAGGATGAGCTAAATATTATATGACTTCATACAATTTTACCTGGAGAGGGAGTGCTCTCAGAGTTCTGAGATCATACACCATCAGGAATCTATCTATTGCCAAATGTCCCATCCTACAAGAATAAGGTTAAGGAGGAGTTATGGTCATAAATTCAACAAGTTAATTAGATTTAAGGTTCAGTGAATAGCTAGGTGAATATCTTCCCCTTTTATGAGTTTTTAATTTACATGTCATGGAATTCATGCAAAATGAAACTTACATTGTCATGAATACGAAATTTCAATGTAAGAGCTCATTTTGTAACAGACGCAAAATCCAACCATATATAATGGTTTATTAGTCAAAACAATATGGACATGAATCAGAAACAAGGATACTGCACCTTGAACAAAATCCACAAGTGACCAAAAGATTTCCTGATACATCAAAATCTGACAAGGTGCCTGTATGTGCCTCTAGGACTTGCTCACACTTGAGGGATGAAGGATCTCTTAGTCGCACCTGTTTAGTGAATGAGATAACATACTGGTCAATTATCCCCAAAATAGCTAATCGTGAATTATTGATTTTTCATTTGAAATTATGTTTGTCAGTACACATCAGAGTCTTGGGTTGAATTTATTAATTTCTAGATAGAGTAACCCTTAGCAAAACAGGGCAAATAAACTGTGCAGATTAACAGCATCATATCTACAGAAAGTGAATTTATAATAACAGTGTACTCCTAAAGAGCCTCTTTAGAACCTCACAAAAGCTCCATTAGCTACAGAGAACAGACAAGACTATCACACTAATACATGTCAGAGGGGAAGGGAAGGGGTAGAAATCAATCATCAGAAATCAGTGGTTAATTTTTTTTCAAGAAATAAAGCTAATACCAATTTCAGATCTTCTCTCTCAGGAGTACACTATGTCATAGACTGGCATGCAGAAATGCTTTTCCCAATGTACCTTGCCTGCTGTATCTCCACAGCAAAGATACCGATTTGATTGCTTCATAACAACAGTGCCAGGATCCACTTCAGTCTAATGCAAATATAAAGTACAACAAAATAATCAACAACAAATTATCAGACACTGATAATTTATGATCTTAGTCAGCTACTCTGCTTGGTTATTCTAACTTTTAATTTCTTTGGCAAAGATTGCAAAATCATCTGTCTACTCCAACAAATAAAGCTGTCTTCTTGAAAACTTTGCGGCAATTCTGTACATAACTGCTGTTGGAGAGACTTCTGTGTACTTACAGTGTTGAGAAGGTGGGCCTATACTGAAAGTCATGTGTTTAGAAACTGGACCCCTCGATAGTATGTGGGTCCACTTTACTATCTCATAACAGAAGTATTCTTCCAAAAATATTGAGGCACATGTGGAAATATGGATGACATATGTAGACTGATATGGAGCATTGCCTTCCACTGAAGAGACCTTACTGAGAAGAATTTACTGCTGTTATTTATTACCTTATTGCTGACCACTCCTTTTTTCAAGTCAACTTCTAACATCAAGCCCTGATGTCCAGCCACCCACAAGTGAGCCTCGTCCCTCTGTAGCATACACTGTAAGTCTGACAGCTCTGAGCCACTGTATCGGATGAAGCAAAAACATCAGTCCATAAAACGACTAATTGATATCATTTTTTCAATTCCTGAAAAAGGCCAATCAAACTTGCGTAAACATCAATATTAAAATCAATTTCAACCTCGGAAAAAATCCCGAAAAATAGAGAGCAACATTTTGAATATAAATACACATTACTTTTAAAAAAACTAAACATCAAAAAGTGTCTGAATTTAATAATAGTAAACCAAGGGTTTCATTAAGGGCCAGGCACTGGGCAAATTGAACTGCTGTGAGGACAGTTTTGTGTGCCTGGTTTGACCATCTAGAGGAAGGTTTTACTTATAAAGAAGGTGGGTCCTAAGACTTTTGCCAGCCTGTGAAAACTAGTTGCCCTCCTGCCGAAAATATTTATGAAACCCTGTTAAGCTGTCCAGAGAGGACATGCCTGCAAGGTGCGGAATGAATAACACACAAACTTTAGCATTCTCTTGCATTCTTTTAGCCTATTGGAATTTTTAGCAAGTTAGGGTCTGTAATGTACCACCTTAAGCCATTTTAAAATCATGTTTGCTGAGGCATTAACTATTTCTACTGAACTTATGGCTCTGTGTGATGGATGTCAATACATGTGTGGGAGTGAGGGACCCATGGCAGATAAAGTAGGCCAATCAGGTATTCCAGCACATCAGAGTTGGTTGACTTTGTCAGCCCCCAAGCTCCTAGACACCCAATCTCTACTTGCAAGGTACATGTACACACTATTTCTAAAGAGATGACTCCATTACACATTACTCCTGAAGACCATTTCATTACTACAAATGTAGTCTGAGAGATAAAATTAATTACTGACAATGATTAGATATTAAATAAATAATCAATTACAACAGATATTTACTGACCTGAGGCTAAAGAGTCGAAGTCCCGCACGAGCTGAGTAGCAGAGTTCATTACTTGTGAGAGAAAGTACTCCATGATCATTGGCTGTCACATCACGGATTTCTTCATGATGAACTTTGAATGAGGTGTACTTTTGAAGTTCTGGTCCAAAGTAAGAGGCCAAATAGCCCTGCAAGTAAAATGAAGGGCAACATTTAATTAAGGGACACAAGATGTGTGAGGGGAGCCTGCCTGTGCATTTAGCTGTTAAACAAGATGGCAAAAGTTATAAACTACTTTTTCCAGGGCTGACATTTTTTGCTCTGAATGGGGTTACTGCCTTATCATGATGGGGCAGTTCACAGGTCTCTATACCAGAGAAACAGTGATCCCCTCGTCTGCCAAGTTGTGGGTTGAGTGCATGGCTAGCAACCAAGCCATTAACCTTGTTAAAAGTTTGCTGTTGCAGAAACCAGAAGTGTTGACAGAGATACAACACAAACTGGGGTTGTTGCTGTTGGGAAGTGGGAAGAGCAAAGGTTCCATAGTAGCCCCTACAAAACTGACAACCCTTACTTGATGGAATGTGAGGACTATGATTGATTCAAAACACACAGCACAAGTTCAGGCATTTTACTTTCACTAAATCAGTTTCCTTCTTAACACACTTATATAATGAGGGTTCTGGGACACCCTTATTTTCCCGAATCTCGGCTCCTAGAGTAGGTAAAATAACTGGTGTCCAAGAACTCTCATTATATATGTGTGTGTGTGGGCGCAACAGCAAGGTCATGCAATGACATACGTTTTCGAATCTATCCAGCCATGTAATTTTTCTTTTGAAAACCCACTGGCGCCCAACTCAATTTTACAATGGTCAGTTTTGTCCCAGGATTATTTTCTATTGAAGAAATATGTTGCTTTTGTATGAACAGCATAATGGTTGCCTCAAGATTCTCATCTGACGTCTGATTCTGTGTCTTTCTTGACTGAGATCATTTTGTGATGACTGACATGGCTGTACATGTACATAAACCATTTGCCATTGATATAGGTGCTTTCTGTTTCTTCGGTCAAACTGACAGAGTGGATCACTTCATATTCGAGCTGAATGTTTGTGAGTTTGTCATGGACCAGGTTTGTTGGGTCAGAACCTTTCACAACCATTTTCAGAAACGAGCTGATCAGAGAGCATGTGTGGATAGAAGATGCTGTGGTCATGCAGAATCTTGTGATCTAGTGGGAAGTGGTATTTGTTACCAACAATCTCAGTCAGATTATTTTCCTTGTTTATGCCTCAGGTTTTTTTGTCCCTGGCATTTGAGCATATTTTACACAAGTCTTTGCTCTAGATCCCCTTGAGAAACATATTTTCGCGCCCTTCTTTAGGCAGGAACGGATCCTCGTAAAGTTTGCACTGGTCAAATGCATTGGTGTCTTGCAAGATCTCCTCAGCAAACTTCACTTTCATCCTTGAGACAAGAGCCCACGGGACATTGTTGACAAGGAAGTTGTTTTTGTGGCCACTGAAGCACAGTGCCAACGAACCCAGAATGAGAACGATCCCTTCTTCAAGCTTGGGCACGGCAATTCTAAGGGTTTCCCCAAGTGACCCCTTGTTGGGGTTCAAGGTGACCCTGATGCTTTACCTGGTTGGCCTTTAGACTGTTTGTTGTTTTCTTTTCGTAGGTATAATCTTTGCCAATTCTCTTCTTTTCTTTTCATATCCCACCAACTTCAAATATTCCTCCAAATGTAAGTTTACCACTGATTCATCGACCTCAAAACTAAAGAACTTGGTAAATTATTGACAACATCATCTGGTAAACAGAAAGATGTTTTTTTTCTCCAGATTCGGCACACCAAAAGGCCACCACATAACTGATTCCCTTCTTTCATCTTCGATAATTTTTGGGTTCTTCCTGCTTTGATGAATAATTTGGCCCTTTTTGCCCACGACCCATGGATGTTTGCTGTTTAAACAAAGGCAACGCATTTCTTCACTAGAAAGTAATCCTGGGACAAAATTGACCTTTGTTAAATCATGTTGTGCACCAGCGGGTTTTCAAAAGAAAAATTACATGGCTGGCTAGATTTGAAAACGTACATCATTACATGACCTTGTGGCTGCACCCACACACATATATAATCAGGGTTCTTGGACACCAGCTATTTTACCTACTCTTGGAGCCGAGATTCAGGAAAATAAGGGGTGGCCCAGAACTCTCATTATATATGTGTGTCCTTATCAGTCCACATAGATCATCTTATTCAATTGTCTTCAAGTGAGTATCACATTCTTTTTCATCATTGTACGCTAGTTCACGACTTTGTTTGGTTCCATTCTGTACATTGAAGTTTCAACTATTTTTCGTTGTTTGTGGGGCCTTACAGATGATACATATGGATTCTTTGCCCATGGTATAAGACTTAGTAAAGAACAAAATAATTTAATATCTGACAGCTTGCATTATTAAAACCACCTAAAAGATTACGAGTTCTTCGAGTCTTCTTGTGGAGAAATTAGCTAAGAAAACATACATGTACATGGCTACAGGCTACTTTATACCCACCGATTGATTCCCCGTCCAAACCAATTCTTCAAGAGGATCAAAAAGGACAGCTGAAACGCCAGAATGGTCTCTTCCTGTGCTAAAAACACTACGAATTTCTTGATATTCCTCTCTCACAACAGCGCCGCCATGATTGAGATCCATCTTCGTTTGGGTGATTGTTCAGGACTCTTACATAACGTGAAGCTTATTTCCACGCTAGAGCCCGCGGTGCACAATGGTTCATTGAGCGGCAAAAATACGAGAATGAAGCGAGAATGACTGGTTTTAGTCTCCTTAATCGTACACACAGAAACTTTTTGCGGGTGGTTTAGCAATCGTTGTGGTATGTAGATTTTTAATCTTAAATAGAGCGCAAAACGATGACATCGTTTGTTTATGAACAAACTGTAATTCAATTCAATTCTAAAACTAAGCTTGTGAGTAGCACGCGCGCCAATGTCTAGACTGATCACTTGATCGATGTTTGTTTGGTTCGAATTTCGTTGATATCGAAATCGTCTTGTCGCTGTAAATTGCCTTTAATCTCTTTTACCCGTAATCAGCAGGCAAGACACCCAGCAGAAGGCAATACCCATATAAAAGGAAACATTCGACAAATTGTACCAGAAGTATATCAGATATGCTTCTGATTGTACTTAAAACATGGTCAATAACTATAGTTCACAGGGTATTTTGTTAAAGAATTCAGATGCGCCCAAAATCTTTGGAATAAAATGTGTTCTGAAGTAGTCTAAAGCCAGCCCTCCCCCGAAATCAATGATGAACTCGCACTAAAACCAAATTGCACCATCTTTTTTCCATCATTGAAATGGAGGCAGGAGAGGGGAGTGGAGGGGGTGGGGAGGGAAGGTCTTAATTTTTCTTTAAAATGACCGATTTTGCAATCTTGGTCAAATTAAACCACTCCTTCTCCCGCATCAATGATAAACTCATGCGAAAACCAAATGTGGGGACTAAGAGATGGACATACCACGACCAGATTGCCAGATCTAGATGGACATACCACGGCCAGATCGCCAGATCTAGGGGAGCAAGCTTGGGGTGTTTGGTATGTTTGGTGTGACAGCCAAAACACATTTAGAGGTGGACACTTAAATTCAATCCCAGTACCCACCATTTTTCCCAGGGCTACAACCTTGTATACTAGTCTGAATATGATATAGGGATGTAGACTACATATTGCTATTGTTTATACTAATACTAATACTAATACTAACAAGAACAACAACAATGATAATAATAATAATGATAATGATAATGATAATGATAATGATAATGGTAATGGTAGTGATAGTGATAGTGATAGTAGAGTGGTTTTCATTTGAGTCTCGAAAGTAATTAGACAATTACTTTGGTTTTGGTTTTGGTTTAACTACGGTTTGAGATTGGCTGAGTAGTTTAATTGGTAAGTAATTGCTTTGGTTTTGGTTTTACAACACTCACTTGAAAACCACTCTAATAGTAATAGTAATAGTGATGGTGATGGTGATGGTGATGGTGATGGTGATGGTGATGGTGATGGTGATGGTGATGGTGATGGTGATAATAATCATAATCATAATCATAATCATCATAATAATAATAATAATAATAATTTGTGTGGAAACTTCTTCATAAGGGGAAGGGATCGCATTTCACAGAAATTAACCATTCCATTCGTTTTGCTTTGTGTACATGTAAATTATTCAAGTTAAGGAAAATACTTTTAATAATAAGTATTTCCTTCCACCTCACTTCCAGTTTTTTTCAGGCAATTTCTTCTGCTTGAATGTGCTTCTTCTTCTGTATTGTACTTAAATATTTCAGGGTGTAAATAAACAAGAAAAAAATGGCTGCAGAACTAGCCTTGCCAGGACAAGTCAACTTAGATGTCCCAAGGTGGGATCAGTCCACTTTCTGGGGACGATTCAAACATTTCCTTGTTATAACAGATTGGAGGAAAGCTCTCTATACTAATGCTCAACTTGATGAGGCAAAAGAAGTTGTTGAAACCTACACGTAAGTTAGTAGATATACATACATTACAAGAATGTGCTTTTTAGTAGGTAGAAAAAGCATCACTAAAGAGTGACTATAAACTTTCTTTTATGATCATTTCATTTTTGTTCTCAATTCTGAAATATTGTTTTGATGTGTTAATATGACAACTCATGTATAGAGCTATAAATAACATGTTTAAACCTGCAAATCTGCATCAACCTAACTATTCTCATTATTTATCGAACTGTTTTATCTGAAACAGCATTTATTTATTTATTTTTTCTCTATTAAACTTTTCTTAGACAAGGTAAAACAACCAAAGTGTCAGTCAATGAGCTCTGGCATGCGAAGCATTTAGTGGATTCAGCATTTCACCCAGACACTGGAGAAAGAATGAATATCTTTGGTCGCATGTCCTTCCAAGTTCCTGGTGGTATGGCAATAACAGGAGCTATGTTACAGTGGTACAGGTCTGTGAAATGATCAATGTTGAATTTATTGATCACTACATCATTCTTATCTTCACGTGTCACAAGGCGTTGAATGCAGGGTTGTCCTTAAGTTTTCATTCACCTGTAGCCTAATGATCTTCCCAACCTTTATAGCAAACTTGTTTCTTTTTGGGTGAATTGTATCAACTGCCAGCAAGTTCACCCAAAACATCAAGGGCCAATCAAACATACATGTACTCTGTTGTGGCAGCTGTTATGGGTTACAGCTCTTATTCAATGACAGCCTTGGCATGGTCACAATAATTGAATATAATTTATGACAGTATAAAATTGACTTTAGTAACATAATTAGTCTTGATTACCAGCCTTTTAGTAGTCAGGTCAGGGAGATATTTTGTGATTCAGTTACCAAATACTTGTAGACTAGTACACAAAGTAGACCTGTCATTCATCAATGTAACATCTCTGTTGTGCTGCAGTGTTATCGTTGATACTGAGAATCCTTTGTTACAAAAAAGAATCAATGAAACATTAATAACAACATTGAAGGACTTCAATCTATAATATTTTTAAGTCTTTACTGTGATACATTGTACTGAAGAATTTCCTTGTAAATTTGTGTACAAGTTTTTCAATGAGCAAGGCTGAATCGTTTGTTGATAGAGGACGTAAACATTTTATATGATCTTCAACAGGACTGTTCCAGCTGTAGTGTTTTGGCAGTGGATCAATCAATCATTCAATGCTTTAGTAAACTACACAAATAGGAATGCTAAATCAACGATAACTGGAAAGTAAGTGGGTTTCCTTAATTAAGTGATGGTGGTGTGTGAATTAAGAACTTACAAGACAGTTTAATTATTATTGTGATTTAATTATAAGCTGTATCTGCCTTCTTAACCAGTGTGCAAAGAAAGTCATGTCCAATAGCCCAGGGCTAGCTGGATTTTGTTGCAGTTGGGCTGGTGTATTCTATTCTTTGCTTGCCTGACAGGCAAGTGAAGTTTTTTAGAAACATTTCTGGGAAATTTGAATTACAGAAGTACTTGTAAGAGATGAAATAATGTACCAGACGAGTATGAATTTAATTTTAGATTTAGTTAATCATGCTAATATATTTTGGGGAGCTAGTGTGAATGACTTTCAGGCTATTGTATCATAGACAGTTACAGCTTGGAAGCCCAAGATCTGGCAAGAATCTTTCGAGAACTTGTAAGATTCTTAAAGAGACCTGATAGGATGTTGATAAGAAACTTATTATTTACAATAGTAAGAATCGTAGTAAGATCTTGAAAAGATTGTCACTTGGGATTCCGATTGGATGCTGGTAATAAATTCTTTAAATTTGTTCTGTCTCTTAGACAGATTGGAATAGCTTATGTGTCAGCAACATCAAGTGCTGTGGCAGTCTCAGTAGGGCTTAACACTCTTGTGAAGGTACAGTAGTAAACATGGTGGTCAGTACATGTACTATTTATAGTACCTGATATTGATAGCAAGGTTATCTTTGGTACTGAGTACCATGAACATCAATCTCCAACACTCAGCCATATATATCATTCTCAGGGGTTTCATTGATGTTTTCAGTAGGAGGGTAACTGATTTTAACAGGCAGGCAAAACATTTTGAACTAAATTTCTTTATATATTCGAAAAACTTTCCTCTAGATAGTCAAACCAAAGAGGTAAAATCATTGTCTTAGCCAGTCAATTTGCCTGGTGCCTGGCCCTTAATGGACCCCTGAATTCATTTCTAGCCTAATCTTTAAGTATTCCTCCTCAGTCAGGAAGGCGTTTTCCAATTTTTCTAGGACAGTTGATTGGGCAGACTCTGTTCGATCTGCCTGGAATGTTCTCAAGAAGGGTATTTGAGCCACCAAGGCTTGTCGACTACTGTTATGATTCAATTTAGCTCTCGGAGCGCTTATTTACTTTTGGTACCTCAAAGGAGGGCGCTTATTCGAGACAGGGTGCTTATTTGGGACAGGGCACTTATTTCTTTTTTGAGAAACAACCGAATGTTCTGAACAAAGCCTGAAGATGAGACCATTTGTTTGAAGGAATTAATGGAATTAATGGAATTAATGGACATAATAGTTGAGAAAGTCAGATAAAGACCACTGTTTTTGTAATGCAGCATGAAGTATGCGAACAATTAAGGAAGATGAACCTCATGTCGATATACGTACTCTGACAGTGCAGTAATATCATAATATTAGAATAGGGGCGCTTATTAGAACGGGGGCACTTACTGGAATAGGGGCACTTGTTAATAAAAACACATTTGAAGGGTGGCGCTTATTCGAAAGGGGGCGCTTCGTGGAAGGAGGGCACTAAATTGAATCACCACGGTACATGTAGTTCAGTGTTCTATAGTATACAGCTTTGACTTCTTTATAATAAAGATATGTACCCAAAATTTGTGTTCATTATTCATAACATAAAAATATTAATTATAATTGATAAATACTATGTTTTTTATCCAGTCAGCACCTCCTCTTCTCGCTCGCTGGGTGCCTTTCATTGCAGTTGCAGCAGCCAATTGCGTCAACATTCCTTTAACCAGACAAAGGTAAAAGTATGTCACTGAAAACATTTTCCCTCCATATGTAGTAATTATTGCAATCAGAAAATCCCACCAAGATAACAAAGGCACCTACCTGTAGATGTATGATTGTGTATATCACAGTTGAAAGCCTCAGTTATTTCAAGCCATTTGCCCATTTAGATATATTTAGTTTTAATTTCATTAAATTAACATGTACATCTGATCTATTGGCCAATAAATTATTACCAACTGTTTCAGGGAAATAATAGATGGAATTGTTGTGTTTGATGAGAATAACAACCCTGTAGGAAAGTCAAAAAAGGCAGCCGCTAAAGGAATAACACAAGTGGTCATCTCCAGAATTACAATGGCTGCACCAGGAATGAGTGAGTTTACTTCACCCTTGGGCATTCTTGATTATTTCTTGGAGAAATGTACATGTAGCACTGTGGTGAACCTTATAGCAATCTGATTAGCCTGAACAGTACTCTGGTTAGACTCAACAGGGCTTTCTTGTGAATTGGTTAGCTCTGAAATAATGACCCATCACATTCATTGTACTTTTTGTTGTTGTTGTTGTTTGTTGTTAGCAACCAACCATGTGTAATATTTGATGCAATCCTGTGTAATAATTAATCAGAGGTCTTCATTAACTAGCTTTGGTAAAGGTATATTTGCATTCAATGTGATACAGATGCTTGACCTAGACTCCCACCTTTCTCAGGCTCAGATTGGATGTGATAAACTTATAAACTCAGACTTAACCCATTGACTCCTGAAGCTTTTTGCCAAAAATGCATTTTTTGGACATTTTGGAGATTTTCAGGCTGGATATGGGCCAAATTAGCTCCAATCTACTCAAAAAGGCATTTGCAACATGACAACACGCTTTTCTTTCCACTAGCATCGCATTTTATGACATTTTTGCTCGGGCATGCGCAGAAATCAAAATGTTGAGATTTTGAGTTTTTGGACGAGAAAGTGACCTACGTCTTTAGGCTTTTGGATTTTTGTAATTTTTTTTTCCCCTTCCCTTTTTCTCCTTTTCTTTTCTTTTTGCTGCAGTGATTGACCTTCTACTGGGCTTGCTTCTAGTTTCAAAAATTCCAAGAGAGCGTCATCACGATGGGCAATCTTTACCATGGAGTAGCCACGTGTAGTGGCAGGAAATTTTGCTCTGAGTTTTTCACTCAACCTTTTGAGCATTTTTGTGCATATCTTGGGTTCCATTGGGCTGATCATTCTGATCTGGGTATCATTGGAAAGATCTTTTCCTCCTGCAGAAGTTGAGCATAGGTGATGCCAATTTTGGTCAAAGGTGATGACGTCAGAAGTGGAAGAAAGGCCAGGGCTTGTCATGGCTGGTTACAGCCGGCACAGGAGTCAATGGGTTAAAGAATGAAGCAGTTGTAATTAGTATTGAAATGCACCTCTACTTGACCTGCGTAGATTATTGATTGAAACTTGTTCAATTTCCATTTTCAGTTGTCATACCAATAATAATGGAAAAAATTGAGAAATATCGTTTTATGCAGGTTTGTGTAATCATAATTTGAGATTTAAATTAAATGACATTACATTGAGATTGTAGTATTATTAATAAAATTAGATTATTCCTGGTTGTGATCATTTGAATTGATTTAAAGAGCCTTGAATTTAGATTGAATGCTTGTTCGATTGAAAAATAACAATTCTGACAGCACAGACTGATAATTAAATTATGACAGATTAACCAAGAATGAAGCCAATTAATTTACCTTATAACTTTTGCTGGAAACTGAAACCAACTCAGGACAAAAGAAAACTGGAAAGAAGCAAAATTAATAGTTGCTATCTTACGAAACAATGCCCAGACAAAATTACCAGTACCCAGTCTAATTTTAGTGGACCATGCATTCTCATATTATTAAGTGAAAAACATTTGGAGTGCATAATCAAATTGAAATGCTCACATTCACATGGTTTTGAAAGGTATGTGAATTGTTATGCTTGGGAGGGTGGACACCCCCCAAAATTTATGTCATTTGGTGCTTGTCCTCCATTTGAAGGCGTGAAATTTGTCGTTTTTCCCAATGTTGATGTCTTTTTCTTTTACTTAGACTGGGTAAGGATTGAATGTAAAACGTAACTATAATTATCTGTGCTGTAACCAAGTTTGATTCATATAATTTAAACATATCCCAATCACATTCAGATCTAGATTAAGGCTTTTGTGTATACTAACTATCAGATATTAAATGCTAGTTAACCTCAGCTTACAGCTCACTGTATTTGCCTTCTTTAACAGCGTATTAAACCCCTGCATGGTCCTCTTCAGATGTTCCTTTGTGGTGTGAGGTAAATGTGATTTCAGTCTATATTTCAATACATTGATGCTTAACTAAGTTATGTGCTACAGTTTTGTTACATTAACACCTGCTTTGAAGAAAAACTCCTTACTCAAGCGGTGTTCAGTTTTCATTGCACTGTGATTTCATTGTCATCATCCTAGTAATCATCATCGTCAGCTGCTTGAAATAACTTCTTTAGAATTAATGATTTCTACAGTTATTAATGTTGTAAATAATATTTTATTGAGAATGTATTAGGCAGTATAATGGTGGTTCCAAGATACAGTGTACTATAATTTCAACTGTTGTAAAACAAGCTTTTTCTTTAGGCATTTGGATCTTCTACATTTCTGAGTTTCAGTCTAACACGTGTATACACATAAATGTAATACTTTCTTCTTGTTTCAGTTTGTGCTTCATGGTACCTGCTGCTTGTTCAATCTTTCCTCAGAGATGGTAATGAATTAATTTTTAGTTATTTAGTTTTTCGTAGCTTACACGTAGACATTTACAAAGGATAATAGATACATGACCATATAATCACACTGCCTAGTGGCCCCACTCAAGCTATCCACTAGAGAAGCATAATGCAAGCTGACATATGTATGGCTGGATGGTTTGACTTAGCCAATCCAGATAAAGTTATCTGGCGCCACACATATCATGAATGCCAAACAAAAATTTAGCACATGCAATTCACTTCCTGATGTACCATTCACCAAGAACACATTTCAAAAAATTCTAAGCAAATCAAACTCAGTAAAGGTGCTAAGATAAACTACATGTTGAGTGAGTCAACATGTAGTGTCAGGAGATATTTGGCTCTTGCTCAGGATACACAGACCTTGCTACCTGAGTTCAAACCAAATATTTTTTCTATTTGGCCTTTCCACACTTGGAATCAGTATAATTATTTTATGTAATGATACACTGTACAAGAGATGACCGAAGGAATTGAACCTTAAGTCTATGGCCTGTCTTATTGTGGGGTGAATTTCCTTTCTACAAAATAATATTTGCTACATGCGCATTCACATCCCAGAAAAATGGATGATATAGATGTTCTTAACACACATTTTCTGTTCTCTTTTCAAAGCTCTATGTCAGTGGACAAGCTTGAACCAGAGGCTCAAGAGGCCATCAGAAAGAAAGCAGGAACAGCCATTAAAACAGTGTACTTCAACAAGGGACTTTGATGACTCAGTATTATCTTAGAATAGAATAGTTCTATATAATTGAAGGCTTTTGCGCAAAAAGGGAGTATTTAGCATTTTGGGCCGATTTTTATTTTTTGCAGGATTGAGCTAATTTTTGGCAGACTGACTTGTTTTGACATGAAAAGCATTGTTGTGTAATTGTTTTTGTTGATTTGCGCTTTGTTTTTGAGAAATAACGTATGCAAAAATACTCAGTTTTCTGAGTGGCATCTTTTGGAGCAAATCCTTCCAAGGTGGATTTTGATGTGGTGCAAACTTAAACGGTTACTGTTAGCAGCTTTGACAGCATGGTTTTTTTTAAATAGAAGTTTTGATTTTTGAAAGACGTAGAGAAATAGACTGGAAAAAAAAATTGACAGACCTCATATTGAACCGGTGTCACGACAAAACAAACTGGCATCCCGCCAGTTCAGCGCCTTATTCACTTGCGCTAACGAAGCAACAGTAAGAGAATTGCGTAATTATGTGAATAATAAAACTAATGGCAAATACCACACTTCGGTGACTTCATCATTTAGCAAAACAAAGGTTTCTTTTGTTTTTCGCTCAACAAAAGATCTCCAAAAGATACCGTTGGAAAACTGAGTTTTTTGCATGTTATTTCTCGAAAACGAAGTGCAAATCAACAAAAACATTTACGCAATGATGCTTTTCATGTCAAAACAAGTCAGTCTGCCAAAAATTAGCTTGATCCTGCAAGAAATAAAAATCAGCCCAAAATGCTATACACACCCTTTTTGCACGAAAGCCTTCAATTATTACATTTTGAAGATTATTCAATGTACTTCATTTTAATTTTAATGAATTGCTGTACTTACAGTTCTCTTAGTGTCATTATTTCAGTTCATTTCATTGCAAATGAACTCATAACTAGAATGCAACTTTCAAATATACTTTTCCGTCCTTTTTGTTTCATGTGTTAGACACAAACACTGGACAGTATTAAAAAATCTCTTCCACAAAGGAAGGGTTTCCAAAAGTCACTTGATCTTATTAAATGTAGGAAAACAAATTAACTGCCATAACGGAATAATAATGTAATACTAATCATTCTTTTTTCTATTGAAAGCACTTTATGTAGGATAGAGATTTTTCCGATTGGGTACAGATGTGCAAAGGGTAGGGTATTATTTATAAAATTACAATTTTAATCATATCACATACTCTTTGTTGACAAAGTAGTCATTTGTACAAGGCTATATGTAATGCGAACATAGTTACAGCACCTTCGCTACTATTATAAGAAGTGAGAAAAAATCTGGGGAAAATCTCATCCTGCAGTCGCTAGTGGGATCACTACTGGGTACAATATAGCTTCTCTTCATTTTTTCTCAGTTGCAGTTGCACAAACCACTGCAATATTACACTTGCCCCAGATTTCTTCTTGTTTCATAAGTGGCAAATTGCATAAATTTTTGTTTTGTGTTATAAGAGAAATGGAAATGGTTGCTTCTGTTGTGCAAACATATACATTGCAACCTTGTTTCCGGGGCTTTTCCCTCAGAAATTAGGAGGGGCAAAGTTTGAGTTTTATTACTGGTATCTTGGGACTTTGCACGACTCATAAAAATTAATAGAATAATAGAGAATTCTGCAAAAATTTCTGTCATGTCTTCATTCAAGGCTATGTGAATACACATGCCATTTTCTACTTCTTGATGGAAAAATTAATTCAAATATAGGAACCAATTGCAGTGTGTGAGTGTGCATGTGTGGGATAGATTGATTTGATTGGGGCAAAAATAATAACCAATTGAATTTTAGTGTGACCATTTTAATCAGTAAGCCCCGGCCAAACGGTTGCAACATTTCAATGCAACATACCACTACATTGTTGGGCGCAACATGTTGCTTGCGTTTGGCCACACTGTTGCCACATGTTGCAAAATGTTGTGACATGTTGGGTGTTGTTGGCTCAAATTTGAAACTGGTCAAATTTTTTATGCAACATTTGTGGTTGTTGCATGTTGTTGTAGTCGTTTGGCCAGGTTCATGCAACAACGTTGCACCTGGGCATGCACACTAGTTCAATTTTCAATACCCAACATGTTGCAACACGTCACAACAGGGTGGCCAGATGCGTACGACATGTTGCGCCCAACAATGTTGATATGTTGTGCTGAAATGTTGCGATCATTTGGCCGGAGTTTGCAAATGCTTGGCCAACAATGTTGTGATATGTTGTAATCATTTGGCTAGGGCTTTATAAAGGTAATAATGATTAGTCTAAGAACTAAATACAGTGATGCTTCATGTTCTGCATGTCTCTCTTTTGTTGAGGGGGAAGGGGTGGCTTATATTTAATATTTAATATATATATAGCAGCAGACATGTAAAGATTTTAAGGAAAACGACCACGTTTTTAAGTCTAAAAGACATGTTTCGACAGAACTTCTGTCATCTTCAGTTGAATGAATGATTACAAAGCAAGTTGAATAATAAGTAGGCAAAAATGCTAATTAAGACAA